TGATTTGCATTTCCCTACTTGCAAATGACATTGAACATTTTTTCATGTTTTTTTTTTAGCCAGACAAGTCTGTTTAAATTTTTTTCCCATTTTTATTAATTGGGTTGTTTTGGTTTTGGTGTTAAGTTTTTTAATTATCTAGGTTATTATTCCTACATTAGAAGAGTAGCTAGCAAAGAATTTCTCCCATTCTGTAGGATTTGTCTTCACATTCCTAATTGTATCTTTTGCTATGCAGAGACTATCCCATTTATTAATTCTTGGCAATATTTCCTGGACTTTGGGGTTCCTCTTGAGAAAGTTATTGCCTGTGCCTATATGCTGGACTGTTGACCCTATGTTTTTTATTTTTTCTAGGAGTTTTATATTTTCTGGTCTAATTCCAAGGTCTTTGATCTATTTTGAGTTAACTTTTGTGCAGGATGAGAGATAAGGGTCCAGTTTCATTCTTCTATATATGGACAGCCAGTTTTCTCAGCATCCTTTATCTAAAAGCCTATCTTTTCTCCAATGTATGTTTTTTACCCACTTTGTCAAGGATCAGATGACTGTATGTTATGGTTGGCATGTGAGAAGTCCCCCAAAAGCTCACATGAGAGACAATGCAAGAAGGTTCAGAGGAGAAGTAATTGGGCTGTGACAGTCTTAACCCAATCAGTGAATGGAATCCCCTGACAGGGATTAACTGAGTGGTCACTGAAGTGGTAGGGTGTGGATGGAGGTGGGAATTGGCGGCATGGTTCTGGGGTATATATAATTTACATCTGGAGAGTAGACTTCCTCTCTCTGCCTTCTGATGATGGGAGCTGCTTCCTTCTGTAGCACTCTTCTGCCATGAAGTTCAGACTCACCTCAGGCCCCAATGAATGGAGCCTGCTGTCTATGGATTATGACCCCTGAAATCGTGAGGCCTCCAATAAACTTTTCCTCCCTGAAAATTGTTCTAGTTGGGTCCTTTTAGTTACAGCAGTGAAAAAATCTGACTAAAATGCTGTATCTATGTGGACTTGTCTGTGTGTCTTCTATTCTGTACCATTGGTCTATGTATCTATTCTTATGCCAGTGCCATGCAGTTGTGGCTACTATGGTTTTGCATTATAATTTAAAGTCAGATTTTGTGATGCCTCCAGCATTGTTTTGTTGTTTGATATTTTTGTTTCTTTTGTTTTGGGCTTAAAATTGCCTTTGCTATTTTTTTCATTCTTCCAAATGAATTTTAGAACTAGTTTTTTCTAGCTCTGTGAACAATGTCATTGGCATTTTGATGGGTATTGCAATGAATCTACATATTGCTTTTGATAAAATTGTCATTTAAAAAATATTAATTCTGCCTATGTGTGAACATGGCAGGTCTTTCCACATTCATGTGTCTTTTTAAATTTATTTCTTTAGTATTCTATTGTTTTCATTGGAGAGCTAAGGTCTTTCATCTCCCTGGTTAGAATTAGAATTATTCCTAGGAGATTTTTTTTTAAATTTCTCTCTCTCTCTTTCCTTTCCTCCCTTCTCTTTCTTTGAAGCTATTGATAATGAAAGTATTTTCCTGATTTATTTCTCAACAGATTCATTGTCAGTATATATAGGAAAATTATTGATTTTTGTATGATGATTTTGTAGCCTACCACTTTGTCAAATATGTTTATTAGTTCTAGCAGTCTTTTAATGGAGTTTTTTTATTTGGATCTTCTAAGTATAGGATCATAGCATCTATAAACAGCGATAATTTGACTTCTTCCTCTCCTATTTTAAAAAAATTCTTTTAGTTGTAGATGGACACGATATCTTTATTTTATTTATGTGGTGCTGAGGATTGAACCCAGTGCTCCAAGCATGTGAGGCAAGTGCTCTACCACTGAGCCACAACCCCAGCCCATTCCTCTCCTATTTTTATCCCTTTTATTTCCTTCCTTTGCCTAATTGCTCTGGCTACTATATGGATGGTGAAAATAGACACCCTTGTCTTGTTCCATGGTTTAAAGAAAATGCTTTCAGTTTTTCCCCATTTACTATGAGATTTGCCTTTGGGTTTTTCATATATAATTTCATGCAGTTGAGGTAAGGATCCTTCTATCCCTAGTTTCTTCAGTGTTCATGTCATGAATGGGTACTGAACTTAGTAGAAGGCCTTCTCTACACCTGTTGAGGTGATAGTTATTTTTGTCCTTAATTCTATTTGTGATGAACTGCATTTATTAATTTGCATGTTAAACCATCCTTGCATCTGTAGACTAAAACCAACTTGGTTATGATGTACAGTCTTCTTAATATGTTATTGAGCAGGAATTCTCTAATATTTTATTAAGGGTTTTTTTATCTAAGTTTGTCAGGGATATTGGTCTGTCGTTTTTCTTTCCTTAATGTCTCCATATATGGTTTGGAAACCCACATGTTATCAGCCCTAGTCTCCTTATCTATAGATTAAGGGATCCCTTGGTTTCAGGAGGAGACTACAGGCATTTTTCTCAGTTTACTTAAAAAAATTGTGTTTTTGTTTAGCTCAAATAGTCTTCCTTGATTGGCATGATTTTTAATTTTAGAGGTGGAATCAAAATACTATTTTGAAATACAATTTTGGGCACTCATTCAAATTTTATTGCATTGTGTAAGGAGGCTTAAAACAATAAAAGTACTCCCATAGAAGTTGAGGTACCAATTATAAATCAAGCAGCCATGACAATGGGTGAAACCTTATTCTCCACTGTGTACAGTAGCAGTTCAAATAATGAAGGTGATCCATGGCCAGTACTAATTGCCATGTGGATAAATCAGATGATTAGGAATGGTTCAAATTGATGTTATAGTTTCCAAGGAATTCTGGGTAAAGGAGGAATTTTAGCTACAGCTAAAGAATGAAGACAACGTAACCAAACAAATAACTATCCTTGCCTTATTGACTGACATATACAATTGTTCTTTTAGTCATAAGTTTAAACCTAGCGCACAAATGGCCATGGACTAAGGATCTCTGAGTTTCCAAGGGAAGTTCCTGCTCAATGTGACAGTGATAGATTGATAGATGGAAGTTGCTCTAGAACTGATAGGAGTTGATGCTGTGAGGGGTTAAGGTATGCTCTTGGGTTTTAGACCGCCTGGGGCCATAAACCCAAGTGTCACACTCATTGTTCTGTGACTTCTAGGGCTGTCAACCTCGGCAGCCTCCACAGGACCTCTTGTCTATGCATTCGCCAAAGTATCACAAAAATGTTGGAAATGGATGGAATGTATACTCTGCAAAACCAAATTTAATACATGTTTAACAAAAGCTCCAAAACTACACTACATATCTGATTCCAATATACAGAATACAATAAAGTTAAAATCATAAAGACAAAATTAATAATTTATGCATAAGAAAACTATGACATTCTTCTGAAATTCACATCAAAAATGTTGTGAATTTTTAAATGTTTATATTTCAATGTATTTGAAATGAGACAGTTTAGAGTCTTAAAAAGGATGTCTAACAGATTAAGAAAGGTCTTCAATGGCCCTACACTTAATGTCTCTTTGCCTAATGCAATTGTTAATTTTAATAGATTGTTACAGGAAATAAATGAACTAGTGCTTATGAATATAAATTATGGAGTCTACAATAGTCACTTGAAATGGTAGCTTAGAAATAGTTATTGTTTTTCTTCAAGCTATTCCTTTAAGGACCATATGTAACATTAAGTAGATGCATTATTTCCTGATTGTACTTATGTAGTCTATTACTCCTATCAAAAAGACTGGACTTATAATTATTCCAGGATAAATCTAGATTTGGAATAATAGTGGTGAATGGAGGATTTCTGCACATTTTTAACAATGCAAGAGAATTCTAGAAATCTACACATGAATGCAAAATAGTTAATCTCTCCTAATAGCATGGGGATATAGCTCAGTTGGTAGAGTGCTTGCCTTGTATGCACAAAGCCCTGGGTTCAATCCCCAACACACACAAAACAACAACAACAACAACAAAATAACCCACCAAATACATAAAACAAACTTCTTTACTATAAAGTATAAGAGAGGACCTTGGCTCCATTTGCTTTGTTTTTTGTTTCAAGATACTCAGGATGGAACCCAGGGCCTCATGCATGTTCTATCCCTGGCACTTTTAATTTTTTTTGTTGTTGTTTTGAGACAGGGTCTCAGAATAATTCTCAAGATGGCCTCAAACTTAACAATCCTCCTGCTTCGTCCTCCCAAGTAGCTGGGATTAGAGCTACTGAGTATGTGCCACATACTCAGCTGTCTCAGCTAAGTCTAATTGAAAAAAACTGATATCCAGTGCAATTGTCTGTGATAAACTGAGGTTCAAATGATTTGAACACACTTTGGGAGTGTACAAATCAGATAATCACAATCTTTTATGGCTGGGAGGTTCAGCAATGTATTGACACATTGTAAAGATAAAGGTTTATAGTACAGCTAAGCTAAATGTCTAGATAGGGTGGGGAATCGATGTTAATACCTGAAATGTGAAAGCCTTGAACTTCAAATAATAGGTCACGATGTTCTGTTTGTTTGTCTCTCCAAGAGAATAATACAGAACTTTATTTACTGAAAAACTTTAGGCAAATACTGCGATCTAACCTATTGCTTAGATGTCCAAGGTGTTATGTGATTTGTGCCCCGCATTGCCATCAGAGAGTTTCAGCTGTTGTATTTCAAAACATTTGCAGTTAGGTGGCTATTAATGGTTTATGAGAGTCAGACTTTGCAATTTATTCCTAGGCATCTTTTTAAAATTTCTTTTTATTTTTTTTAAGCCAAGATGCAATTTGCCTCATGGCCTCACTCTGATCTCAGCAAGAACACTTTCAAAAGATATTTCTTGTTTTTTCAAAGGTTGTTTGCATGAGTTGATTCAATGCTCTCTCATCAGGAGCCCTGAAGCCAGTGCTCTTGGGTTGTATAATGGATTCACTACATTTAGCTCCAATGTGTTGATGGTACCCCTAGGTGATTCCGCCAGCATTTCCAATCTCTGTTTTCTTTTCTTTTGTTTACAGGAGCTGAGGGCACAGTCTTCCCTAAATCCATAGAAACACCTAACGTCAGGGCAGACCCCTTCAAGGAACTAAGGTAAGCTTCTGACCTGGATTTGCACTGATCAATTGCAATCATCTTACTCTGTGCAACAGACCCATGATTCATTTCGAATTATAATGATGGTGTCACAATGTGAATATGTAAACCAGGAGAGGTGGGAGATGACTGAAGATCAACTTTACCTGAAAGAAAAGTTTGCTGAATAGTTAAGAATATTAAGGTCTTGGGGTGAGAGGTCGCCAACTTTGCATTCGTGTAATTCAGATTCATTGATTGGCTGCTGTATTTATGGTACACAAACTGATCAGTTACAAAACTAGACAGTAATTGGTGTTGATCAGCTCAAAGAAAACTGCTTTCTAAAGGAAATTAATGTCTAAATATAATACTGGTATATTTCTGTGTACCAAACTACCTATTTCTTTGGGTAGAATGTGGCTAGAACGACATCCTCTGGGCATTTAGCCATTAGCATGCTGCTGAAGCAGAGGTAGACCCTGGGAAACCCACTGCTCACTAACACCAACTGTGGAAAATGAGAAAGAACAGCAGACCAGGAGACTGACATAGCCTGAACCCATTCTAGCCACCAATGAATTAACTCTGGTCCTCCAAACACACATAAAAATGTCATCTGTTGATATCAATTTAACTGCAATTTCTATGATATAATCATAACCATGAAGAATTCAGTGAATGCTGGCTTTCTTCATCTTGGTTCCTATTTCTTTTACTTAAAACCAGGGATATGTAACCAATGACCATAAACAGCTTTGAGTAACTGTTTCATATGATAGACACCAACCCCAGGCAAAGATATCTGCATTGCACAAGTCTTACCAACTTTTATGATGCTGTCTGTCCTTTGCTAAGACAGAAACAATCCCCCTAGCAGCTTCTATTCATTTAACAGGAACACTTCTCAGTGGTGGAAAATAAAACTCATTAGAAAACCTGGAGCTGGTTTTGCAAAGCCTGTAAGTCTTTGTGACTGTAAAGAAATAAAGTTAGCTAAAAGAAGAGCAAAGCTCCACATACATAAGGGCTATCGTATTAAAGTTTTACCACATTTTCTAGAGTAGCTTTTTTTCCAGCAAAACTGCCACATGCCAGAGATTACCTGACTCCCTGCCAGTTACCTGACTCACCTCTCCTTCCAGCACTGAAGCTGGAAGTCACTCAAGAAAACCTGCCTTTCAGGACTCTTGAGAGAGCTCATTCTGGGAGTGCAATGTCTCATGTCTGTGATGTAAGAACTCTTTCCGGATGAGGTAATGAATGAAGGGCTGGTCCGATTCTCTTCCTTTCAACAGTCCTTAGCAGAATTTGATTTCTGACAGAACTAGTTAGTGCTGCCCAGCCCAGAGAGAAGTGCTCTCCAATAAAGCTGAATTCTAAAAGACAATATTGATATCCACCCCCTATGGAATAAGCTCTCGGTTTACATGAAAGATTTGGAAAATGTAACAGGAAAGAATTTAGGCTAATTTGATGTTAAGCAGCAAAAATTACTCTTCTGTAATTAAAAATAAATCCAACTCAAACCACTTCCCCTAGGGAGGGGAGAGAACTCTCAAATAATCAGAATAAAAAATAGACAGATGATCTGAACAGACATTTCACAAAAGTGGCTACATAAAGGGCCAATAACTATTTTTTTAAATGTTCATCATCACTGATTATCATGTGATGGAAAATCGAATCACAATGAGAGATTGTGTCACCACGGTTAAAATGGCTGTAATCAAAAAGAAACCCCCCCCCCAATTATATCACTTTATCAGGCACATACCTGCACTCATGATGATTACAACAAGGTTCCTAACAGCCAAGTTGTAAAATCAACCAAGGTGTCCTTCAATAGACAAACGGATTTAAAAAGTGATGTAAATGTCAGTTGTGTTAGCCAGTTTTCAATGACTATAACAAAATTCTTGAGAAAATCAGTTCAAAGCAGAGAAGATGTATTTTTGTTTCATGGTTCCAAAAATTTCATTTCCTGGTCACTTGGCCCTATTATTTCTTGGCCCAAGGAGAGAGAGAATATCAGACCAGAGGGCGTGATTATAGAGGAAAATTGCTTGTCTCATGGTGACCAGAAAGCAAAGTATGAGAGAGAAGAAGGATCTGTGAACAAAATGTACCTCAGTGACCTACTTCCTCCAACTCAGCTCCACATCCTAACATTGCCAACACCTCTCAGTAGCCCAGTAAGGGGCCTGGGATTGTGGCTCAGCAGTACAGCGCTTGCCTAGCATGGGTGAGGCATACTGGGTTCCATCCTCAGGACCATATAAAAAATAAAATAATAAAATTAAAGGTATTGTGTCCACCTACAACTAAATATTTTTATAGAAAAAATAGCTCATCAAGGTATGAATTGAAGCCCTGGTGAACCAATAACTTCCCAAAGGCCCTACCTCTGAACGTTGGTACCCAAACATTCACACATGAGCTTGTGGTATTCCAAATCCAAACCCTAACATTAACCAATTCAAAATCAGAAACTGCAAAAGCAATTTTATTTAGAGTCTTAAGGAGACACAGGTTTAGATCTCTGAATAAGTGTTCCTAGGAAGGCAAGAAAGGGTGAGTTTCTGTCGTCTACTGAATGTTGAAAAGGTACCAAGGTTGCTTAACCATTAGTGGGTAAAGACAAGAATGTATAAACAGAATGGAAGTATCCACAAATCAAGAGTATCCTCTTGACATGTATCTTGAACCTCTGGGTACAATGTAACCATCCAGTCATACTTACTGCCTACAGAGAAAGAATAGAGATGACCAAAATTTACATCCCAGCAGCTAGAATCTGCAGAAAGCCCTATTTCCTTATGTTTCTCTGAGTCCATTTTGTAAAACCCTTGCAACATTGGTTCCATTGTGATTTTCCATTTGTTTTCACAACGTAATGGACTATAAGTCAGTCATTAAAAGAATGTAATCTTGGCCAGACATGTGCGGCAGATTTATAATCCCAAAAGCTGGGGAGGCTGAGGCAGGAGGATCACAAGTTTGAGATGAGACCAGCCTCAGCAACTTAGTGAGACCCTGTCTAAAAAAAGAGAGAGAGAGAGAAAGAGAGAGAGAAAGAAAAGAGAGAGAAAAAAATTATCTTCACATTTCTGGCAACATGAATGGGACTAGAAAATGTTATGTTGAATGAAATAAGCCAGACAGAGAAAGACAATTAACTTCATACAAATGGAGAGTAGAATAGTGATTGTGATTGCTAGAGATTAGGAAAGGTGGGAGAAAGAAGATTGTAGGAGGCTAGATAACAGGAACCAAAATACAATAACACAGGAATAAGTTCTAACCTTCTACAGCCCAGTACAGTGTATATAGTTCAAAACACTTTATTATGTACCTTATTGAGAGTGAAAAGAGAGGAATTCCAAGTTTCCCAATACAAAGAAATGATACTTAAGACAGAAATTCTCATTAACCTCATTGAATTGTTACACATGGTTTACCTGTATCGAATTAACTCACTCACTGTTCCCCATAAACACATAGAAATCAAAAGGCACAAGCTCCGTGCATTCCTCTGCTTTAGATATCTGTGTCCTGAAGAATGTAGAACAGAATATTCACCCTTGAAATTCTCTAGCAGCACTGAGAGTGTCAGTGCATTTTCTCTAGGAAACCCTGCAACTTGCCTTCAAAAATCAAATCTCCATAATTCATGAGTAAATATAAGTCTAGTGAAACTGCAGAAATGAAGGCTTCAGGTAATGGCTGAATTTTCCTTGCTTATTCTAAACTTATGAGCATATTCTACAGAGACTAGAAATAAAATTTTCTTATCTGCATAAAAATATTTCCTGTTATCCTATTCTTTTGTTTGTCTCTTTAGCTCAAATCATGAGAGCCTAGATTGAGGCAGGCACCTACAGTGTCAAAATCTAGCCTTTTCATCCTCTGCAATTTTTTGTTTGTGTTTTGTTTTTTTTAATATTTTTCCATTGTCAATGAGGTTTATTTTATTTACTTACGTGTGGTGCTGAGAATCTAACCCAGGGCCGCCTCACACATGCTAGGCAAGTGCAAAACCACTGAGCCAGCCCCCACCCTCAACAAGCCCACTGTGTTTGTTTTTTAAAGGCACTTTGCAGGAGGGTCTCTGACCCACTGGAAAGGTAACCAGTTGTAGTTCACAGACTAACCAGACAAGTGTATCTGTTTAATGATGCCACATCTTACTCTGCTATTGATTGGTATTAACCTAAGATACTGAGTAAATATGTAATGAAATTGGAGGCCAAGTCTCCTGTCCTCTGACCTTAGAGTTGAATGAGTCTTACTTGGCCACATTCATGCTTCTTCTAGACTCAAGAAAACTGAGGAGTTATAGTGAGATCCCTGGGCTCCTACCAGGAGGTAGAGATGGATAAAGCATTAAGGAGCAGATGGGTCTGCTCCTCAGAGGCAAGGCTGTGGAGGGGAAGAGGCACATCGCTGAGAGCCAGGTCCCCAGAGCAAACTTACTGCATGGGCTCCAGCTAACTGTGGAGCTTTGCTCTGCAAAGCAGCTAATCCCTTGGTAGTCTTTCAATTTTTTGTTTTCAAATTATTTTAGATTAAAAGAAGAGCTATAAAATCCATACAGATCATTCCTACCTATGCGTAACTCATTTTCTCCCCTCATGTTAACATCTTAAAGTCCTAGAATATCCTACTCTGTGTTAAGATTTGTTAAAAGGATTGCAATCACCTGAAGGTCTTGTAGATTAAAAAATATATATAAAAGAGTCTTAACAAAAAAGCAGCCCGTCGAGATGTGAATTAATTGATCTTGATCTTAAAATTCCCACTGAAGTTAAGTAGGAATGCTTTTCAGTTGTTTTTTTTTTTTTTTTTTTAGATTTTATCTCTAATGTTCTAGACAAAGATTTTCTTGGTCTTGTTTGTTATTAATGGTAAACAAATTGAGTCAAAAAAAAAGTGAGAAAATTGCATCTGTCTTAGAAAGCATGTCCTCTAAGATCACTTTTGTGTCCTCAAACCTCTGTCTGGGCTGCTACAGGTTT